TCAAATTGTGTACCCTAGACACTCCTCTTACAAGGCGGGGGCGGATCCTGCAGTGCTCTTCCTTAGCACAGGTCCCCGCACTGGTGGTGAATATGGAGATTTCTGTAAAGGTGTAGGGTTCCATGCTAGGGGATCACGTTGTGGGATCAGAGGCCTGAGGCCCTGATCCTGCAAACAATAAGCACATGCCTAATTTAAATTTAGGTGGGACTGCTCCATGTGCAGAAAGTTAAGCACCTGCTTAAGTGCTTTGCCATACCAGGGTCCAAGCTGGTAAATGTCAAGCTTCATGGTTTGGCTTTTAATGTGCAGCTGTGGGAAAGGTAACACGGCCACAAGGTCCTTTTCCATTAATGGGTTGTGTCACAAATAGATACACTCTTTAGTTAGATCATTTGGATACAGGCAAAATCCTTGAACTGATCAGATTAGGAATATGGGATTTGTCAGCCTGGATCAAAGCATGTGTCCATCAAGTCCAGTGTCCTACATCTGGCAGTGTCTAGTAACTAATTCTCAAGAGGAAAGAGTAGCTGCCTAGTCGCTTCAGTAGAGTACCCAGTTGTTTGGTCAATACTGTGGGGTCAAAGGGAAAGGATAGGAGCTTCTCCCAGAGAATTGTGGGGACCAGATTATGCCCTTGGCTCCTAGCCGTTTTTTTGTAGTGCCCAAGTTTTGCAATGGACAGGTGAGAGGAGCTGCCTTTTTCCAGGTCTCCTTGCACTGTCATTCTCCTTTGGGAATCTTTTTTTCCTCTTCATCTCTTTTTTCCTTTTTACAGTTAAGTGTAATTAAATTAAAAAAAAGAAAACACACTCTAACTGCCAGTCCTAATGAATATGTGCATTCCATCCTGATGTGAAATGTGCCCAGTATCTTTATTGTTGTAGCTTTCTATTTTCCAGCCTTGCTTTTTTCCCCCTCTCCCACTGTTCCCTTTCCTGCTGTGCCAGAGGACTCCCATTTATTGTTCTGGTGCTTGCCGAAAAGATACACGCTGCTGCTGGGGCTCCACACACTTGGCTGTAAGTGCTCTCTCTGCCAAGCTGAATGGCATGAGAGCAGTTGAAGCCAGCTGGCCTACATCTCTGGCTGTATGAGCTGCTCCTGTGGCTGGCTGCAGTAGAGACCATGCAGGAGCAGGCTGAAAGTCTGGTGGCTTTTGAGGTGGCACTCTGTCCGTGGCTATATAATCCCATTTGCGCTGGTGGAGAGGGTCTGGCAGTGCAGAAATGGAGTCCTGCAGCTCTTTCTGCTACATAGAGCTAGCATGGAGCCCAACCCCGCTTGGGAAAATGCTGATTTTTGTTTTGTTTTGTATTGCAAAATGAAATCTGTGTGTCCTTAATTCACCCTGCAAACCAACAAATGTTATTCTCCACAAAACTATTTAGTTGCTTTAAAAAAAGCCAACTACAGTACCAACTTGATCTGCCTTTCATCAAACCCCTGGCTAGTGGATAGCTAGAGGTGCTCACTCTTTGAATTCGGACAGCACTTTGCGAGTGCTGTAGCTTCCCAGAAGTTCTGTGGTACCCATTGAACTCCAAATAGTATAGGCCAAATTTCAACAAGCTTTTTGTGCAATAATATTGTATCAGAAGGTCCTTTTAAAGACCCTGAGCCTGTGTTACTATAATTTAATTCATTCCAGCCTCAGCCCCTCAATCTAGCCCAGCAATGGGCAACCTAAGCTAACGAGTGGCTCTCCTTCATCTCAGTGATCATCATAAGCAAGACGACCTCCCAGGATAGGGTGGTTCTGCTAACTGTGCTTGGGTCCCTAGAATTGGTGATGTGTGCCAGTTGAACCAAAGCAGCACTTGGATTGGATGCAGAGAGAGCCCACGGCTCTCACAGTCAATGATGTGTGCAATCAGCACACACCTCACGTCACATGGGCGGCCTAATAGCAGATATTACCTCACTCACCTTATCTCTAATATCCTGGGACCAATGTGGCTGTAACAGCACTGCAAAACCAGCATCTGCAAACTACTTATTCCCACAGGCGTTGAGATAGGAAAGGCAGAGTCAGGAAAACAGTTAAGCCAGTGGCTTTCAGACCAGCAATATGGCATGAATGTCAGGCACTGGGTCTCCTTGCTGCAGTGGGGGGAGGGGAAAGTCAGGTGACCAGTGGGGGTGCTAAGGCCTGTCCTGCACTGCAGACTGTGGGACGGGGTGAGGGGAGAGGGAGAGTGCACATGCACTGCCCCTGCCCCAAGCACTAGCTCTGCACTCCCATTGGCTGGAAACCTGCTGCCAGCTGCTTCGGGGCCCCGCCCAAAATTTCAAAAAGTTTGAAAACCACCGAGTTAAGCAGCTGCAGCAGAGACAGGCTTACAAGTAATTTTGTGCAATATGATTGAGAAATCAGAATAGTCAATCCAGATAGTTTTCACACATTGAAAACAAATTAGAGGCTGACTGCTTCATGGCTTGGTGACAGGCTATAAATCTTCATACGCATCTGTAAAGCATTATGTATAGCTTTATTGCCTAATGAAATATAGATGCAAGTGTGATAACTACATCAAAATAATATAGTCAGATGGTGACTAACAAGAGGAAAGTCACCCAAACCACACACACCATAGTGTAGCACTCACCCAAAATAGAGGTAGATAGAGGCTTTGAATCTGAACTGAAGTACTCTCTAAGGCGATGTCTATACTACAGCGAAGATCGAAGCTGCCACAGTCGATCTTCCAGGGTTTCAATTAGCAGGTCTAGTGGAGACAGCTAATTTGAAATGAGAGAGGCACTCCGGTTGATGCCGGTAGTCCTGCTTCCATGAGGAGTAAGGGAAGTCGAAGGGAGAGCATGCTTCCCTTCACTTCCCGCAGTGTAGACAGCACCAAAATTTGAGTTAAGATACTTTGATTTAAGCTACACAATTAACCTAGATGAAGTTGCGTATTGTAATTCAAACTTATCTCCTAGTGTAGACCAGGCCTAAATAAACAGCTAGTATCAAACCATGACACCTAAAATAAGTTAAAAATCAGTGAGAAAACAGTGTGCCCCTCCAATGAACTGCTGAAAATTGAAAATTAAAAACAGATTTTTCTGCTAAATAGCCTGCAAGGCCCTGATAATGGTTATTGCCCATGCTTAGTTTTCCGTACACCAGTCACTTTGCAAAGTAACAACATAAGAACAGCCGTACTGGGTCAGACCAAAGGTCCATCTAACCCAGTAGCCTGTCTGTCAACAGTGGCCAGCACCAGGTGCCCCAGAGAGGGTGGACTGAAGACAATGATCAAGTGATTTGTCTCCTGCCAATCTTTCTCCACCCTCTGACAAACAGAGGCCAGGGACACCATTTCTATCCCCTGGCTAATAGCCTTTTATGGACCTAACCTCCATGAAATTATCTAGCTTCTCTTTAAACTCTATTATAGTCCTAGCCTTCACAGCCTCCTCTGGCAAGGAGTTCCACAGGTTGACTACACGCTGTGTGAAGAACTTTCTTTTATTAGTTTTAAACTCCTAGGATGTCTCACAGTCAGGTACTGATCCCGGGGCAGGCACGCCCAGACCGCCCCCTTTCCACTCCTGCCCGCTTACTCCTGTGTTAAGGAAAAGTTGCACTCTTGGCAAATGGGAAGTACTAAAAATACGGGTGCCATATGACCCCCCGCCCTGCTCTGCTGCCATGCCCAGACCCTCTCCCCCCTCCCACTCCTGCAGGGAGGGAAAGTTGCACTCTCCTGGCAAAGAGGGGGGTTGCCAAACAGACTGGCACCATGTAAGTCCCTACCCTGCTCTGACGCCATGCCCACACTCCCTCTGACTTCTCACTTGAAAGCTCATGGCTTGGCCTGTCCCTTACTATGCCTGCCACCAGAGTCCAACCCTTTCCCTAAGAACTCAGGTTTATCTATTGCCTAGTGGCTGCTTAAAAGCATATGGCCTTGTACATAACACATCCCTATTGTCTTTAAACAGACCTTCATTTTATACTAACAGATTAGGTTGTAAAATCTGCTCTTCACTTATCCACATTAAATTTCATTTGCCATTTTGTTGCCCAGTCACTCAGTTTGGTGAGATCTTCTTGGAGTCCCTCACAGTCTGCTTCTGTCTTGACTATCCTAAACAGTTTGGTATCATCCGCAAACTTTACTACCTCATTGCTTACCCCTTTCTCCAGATCATTTATGAATAAGTTGAACAGGATTGGTCCCAAGACTGACCTTTGGGGGACACCATTAGTTACCCCCCTCCATTCTGAAAATTTACCATTTATTCCTACCCTTTGTTTCTTGTCCTTAAATCAGTTCTCAGTCCATGAAAGGATCTTCCCTCTTATCCCATGGCCATGTAATTTACACAAGAGCCCTTGGTGAGGGACCTTGTCAAAGGCTTTCTGAAAATCTAAGTATACTGTATCTACTGGATCCCCCTTGTCTGCATGTTTGTTAACCCCTTCAGAGAACTCTAATAGATTAGTAAGACATGATTTCCCTTTACAGGAACCATGTTGACTTTTGTCCAACAAATTATGTTCTTCTACATGCCTCACAATTTTATTCTGTACTATTGTTTCGGCTAATTTGCCTGGTACTGAAGTTAGACTTACCAGTCTGTAATTGCCAGGATCGCCTCTAGAGCCCTTTTTAAATATTGGTGTCACGTTGGCTACCTTCCAGTCATTAGGTACGGAAGCCGATTTAAAGGATAGGTTACAAACCACAGATAATAGTTCAGCAATTTCCCATTTGAGTTCTTTTAGAACCCTTGGATGAATGCCATCCGGTCCCGGAGATTTGTTAACATTAAGTTTTTCTATTTGTTCCAAAACCTCCTCTAATGACACTTCAATCCGGGACAGTTCCTCAGATTCATCACCCACAAAGGTCGGTGCAGATTTGGAATCTCCCTAACATCCTCAGCCGTGACGACTGAAGCAAAGAAATCATTTAGTTTCTCAAAATCTTTTTTTGCTTTTCTTATTACAAATGAGAGTGATGTTGATATTGTCCATTCATCGCGTCTCTCTTTCCTTATTTGACTACCAAGACTGGAGTTTGAAGATTTATCTATATGCCCTGAAACATCTCTCAGTCTGACAGCCACCTAACACAGCATTTCTAACTCATTTCATCTGTTTATGTTATCAGCTAGTTCATACTGTTTTGTGGTAGACACACAAAATCCCAGGATTTGAGGTGTAAATAAACAAGGAAATGATCTTGCAGTATGGTGTTTTTGTGTGTACATCCAGTCAAAATTCTAAGTGGGGGTGTATCAGTTTTTGAGCGCCCGGCTATAAGACAGGTAAGAATGGATTGCCTGAGTGCCCTAAGCTCTCTCTGATTTTGGTTGGAGTTGTTAGGGGCTGCTCTGCATCTCTGAAAATCAGTTCTAGGCATCTCAAGTTGGATGCCCAAAATTAGTAGATATTTTTTAAATTTGAGCCATAATGCTGAATTATCCACATATTTTGTTGTTTGCAAGGGCTATGAAATAGTTCATCTTCTAAAATTGTTCTCCTCTGAGAAGTGGTTAATTAACTCCCTTATTACACCCTATTAAACATCACAAGCAAAGGATACAACATCAATATTATTTTCTTCTTCCTTTTCCCAGGTTGTCAGCGCTCTATAGGCTTGTCCAATGGAAAAGCCAAAGTGTGCAGTTACAGTGGGTGGTATTACTGCAGCGCCTGCCATGTGGATGACAACTTTCTAATCCCTGCACGACTAGTTCATAACTGGGACACTTCGAAATACAAGGTAATCTTCTCAAGTCTTGGTTTGAGAAGAAATAAATCAAATACCATGTAATAGAACAAATGATGCTGAATTTTCAAATCTAATTTTATAGTCAACTAATATTTTCCAATCAATCACATCCCTGACCAGGATGGGAGGGTCATGCCCAGCAGTAGAAAAAGGAATCAGAGGCCAGTTAGAAGTTGGGGCTGAACGTCAGAGCTGGGTTGCCTGGGTCCAAGGCAGGAACAGAATTAGAACCAAATAGGAGCCAGACTAGGAACAAGCAGGTGCTGGAGCTATCACAACTGTGGGTGAATACTTTAAACCAGGGCTGCTCAACTTTAGAAGCCCCAGGGGCCACAATGATGCTCTCAGCACATGCCGAGGGCCGCAATTTAAGTCTGGTTGCATATACATGCAAATAGCTTATTTCACACTGACGGGCATGAATACAAAGCACTTCCCATGATGCCCCGGCACTCTTGGCACCTCCTCCCTGGAAGCCAGAAATGCCGACACCCTGTACCCCTCTGTTCCAGCCAGCCCGTCCACGTGTGTCTTTCAATGCACACCCTACCTGGGAGACACCTCGCTATTGTGGAGTGTGTTACCAGTGCAGGCCATGTTCAAAGGATCCTACCTGTGGGCCACATGTTGAGCCCTGTGTAAACCCAAACCGCACCGTGGGCTGCAAACAAACGTGCCGCGTGTTGAGTAGCCCTGCTTTAAACAATCCTTGAACTGCTGCTGGGCTTAAGAGCTGGTCTACTGACTCTTCCCACCCATCCAGCACTGTAGCTACTAATTTAGCTGAGCACAGGCCAACTGTGCTCATTAAGTTGCCCAGAGCTGGCTGTGCTGCAGGCCCTAATTCCTGACAGTTCATGTGTCCCCACCACATTTCTTGCCTACTCAGCCTGTGACTCCTCAGTGGTATATATTCAAATCTGCAGAGCCCATCTTACTACCTCGTCCCTTTTTGGATCTTATAGTGTCACACTCCTCCCACTCGACCCACTACTGCTGCAGTCCTTCATTCTTGCCTATCTTCTCTGATGGCCCTAATCTTCATAGTCCTCATGGACTGGGCCTTGGCCATCTCAGACATTGCCTCTTTCTCCACAGTTATAAGAGCTGTGATTATCAGGAGCTCAGCAGTTGATGGATCCCAAGAGGAGGTCTTGGAGATAGGGGCGCTTTTTGATGGTAGGCACTAATTCTATGGAATTCCATCCTGTTGGAAATCCGAATAAGCCCAGATCTCTCCAGCTTCAGAGTATAGTGGATGTCAAACCTTTTAAATCAGAAGGATGGCACAGCAGCACTTCCTTTGGCATCAGCAACAGAAATAATGTAAAAAGAGAATTGCGTATTCAGTCATAGGAGGAAGATGTGGTAAAAAGTAAGTACAGTTTTTAGATTGGATTTAATCTTTTTTAAAAAAACACTCAGATGCTGAGAATGCATGGGTGGATATTGAAAAATGGATGAATGGATAGACAAGCATGTATCATCATAGTCATGGTCTCATTGTGCCACTGGCTCTTAAGTCAGCAACAAAGCTCCTTCATTTCTGTCTGTTTCTGGTAAGTCTTTCATTGACTTCACAGCTGTGTTCTAGGTTTTCATCTCGTCTTCCACAGCTCTTTGCCATATTCTTCCCAGGTGTCCATCTTATTGCTGCTCTGGTGATGGAATCGGTTTCCACCCAAAGCACATCTCCAGTGCCTCCTGTCAGTGATGGTGCTTATCTCTTCTTGGAGACAGATATATACTCCTGGCGAATATATGCATCTCAGCATGTTTCACAAAGGGCACTGAAGAAATGGTGCACAGAATATGCTTTTCCATTGCATCTTTTCATTGGGCAACTACGTTGTTTTGGCATTGCAGCGGCAGTGTGCTGAAACAATAACAGACTTATGAGGAAGGGAGATTATACTGAAGCTTCAAACATAACAGATACTGTTAGAAGAGGCTGTTTGATGTTTTACGTCTGGGAATATTATTATTACGGGTTATTTGAAAAGGAAATAAAGGAACTGGTAAATGCTCTGTTAGGGGGAAAAAAGCAGGCTCTCTCTCGAAGAAAATTTATCAAAAGACAGATTATTAAAGGAAACCAGAGCCTGCCATTAGGAAAATGATAATCTGATGCCAAATAATACAGATTTTTCAGGAGTTAATTTGCCTAGGTTTACAGTAGGCTACATAAAAAGCACAAGCAAAGTAAGTACAACCAAAATTTCATACAATGACTTGTTATACTTCTCTATACTGTATACTACATACTGAAATGGGACAATATTTATATTCTGATCAGGTTTTTTTATAATTGTAATGTAAAAATGAGAGAGTCAGCAATTTTCCTGTATTACTGTGCTGTGACACTTGTATTTTTATGTCTGATTTTCTAACAAGTAGTGTTCAAGTGAGGTGAAACTTTGGGGGTACACAAGACAAATCTGACCTCTGAAAGAGGCTCAGTAGTCTGGAAAGGTTGAAAACCATAAGCTACTGGAGCTAGAAGCAGGTCAGAGAGGAATTTGTTACAGTGAGAAGTGATCCCTACTGTAGCCCTTCACAATGTTAACAAAACTATCACACATAACACCAGGCACTGGCTGCAGGTGAGTAATTATGCAGCTAATACAATGTATATTTTTAAATCAAGGAAATACTGTAAGGTGAATTAAGGATCATGGTTCCAGACATCTCTATGGCTCAGAAGCTGTATTAGACACCCTATTCATCTCTCAGATTTAAGGATTTTTTTAAAAAAACAGTGCGTATCCCAGGAACTATGCTGTCAAAATTGAAGAATGGAACATGCACTGCATCAGTAGAAATCTGGGGAGTTCAGATAAAGAACAAAATTCTACAGATCTCAAATGTTCAAAATGCACACAGAAGTGTAACTTCGAACACAAGCTACCAAACTTTTTGGTTTTGTTCTGTTGAGAAGACTAATATGTCTGTACATTAGAGAGAATATTACAACTATATTCAATTTCACACTGCTTAGACCAGTGGTCACCAGCCAGTCGATCGGGATCTACTGGTAGATCTTGGAGCCTCTGACAGGTGATCCTGACTGGTTTGGCCGAAAGGCTATCAAGTGCCAGCACTTCAGTTGCCCTTCCCCACGCTGCTGCGCATCTCCTGCCCTTTGCTGCCCCTCCTTGGGAGCCTCCTGCTTGCGTACAGAGCAGGGAAAGGAGAGGAGGGGTGCTTATGTCAGGGTTCCCCTTCTCCTCCTGTATTCTATCTCCACAGAGCAGAGAGAGGGCACAACAGGGATTGGGATGGAGGGAGTTTGCTGGCTGCTTTGGAGAGTGGCACAGAGCCAGGACAGGGGTGAGCCTGCTGTAGCCCCATAGCATCACCACCCAGGAGCCACCTGAGGTAAGCAGTGCCCAGTTGGAGCCAGTTCTGATCCCATGCCCCAGTCAGGAACCCCCCCTCCTGCACCCTAAACCCCTGCCCCAGGCTCAGCTCAGAACCCCTCTCACTCCAAATCCCTTAGTCCAAGACTGGAGCCTGCGTCTCAACCCCCTGCCCTTGCCTGGTGGAAGGGAGGAAGTACAGAGTGAGCAGGGCAGGGCCTCGGAGAAGGGGTGGGAAGGAGGTATGGCAAGGGTGTTTGGGTTTGAGGTAAATCCTGGATTGCACTTACGTTCAAAAAGTGATCTTGTGCTTAAAAAGGTTGGAGACCCCTGGCTTAGACACTGTGTGGTTTAGCCTTACAACACACCAGAGAACTACCATACCTGTAATAAGAATAATTCCTATTGTATGGGGGAGTGTTTCACTCAGTACCACACAAGCACTCAGTATTGCAGCTCAAAAAATCCTGAGTGAGGATCACTAGCATGTATACTTTGGCATTCAAAAATGTGCTGAAGTCCTTTCCTAAATCAAGGCCTATGAATGCAAGAGTACAGGCAGTCCCCGATTTACGCGGATCCGACTTATGTCGGATCCGCACTTAAGAACGGGGCTTTCTCGCCCCGGAGCTTGCGGGCGGTGGGACCGCCCAGAGTGCAGCGGTCCCGCCACCGCGTCCTCCAGGGCGAGAAAAGCTGCTGCTGGGC